GGCCGACTATGATGCGTTGAAACGTCTGCGAATGTACCAAGTCCACTGTACGTGACTGGACGTTTTCATGATCACTGTGACAGAGAATTCCGGACAGGGCGAATTTATCGTGGTCGTCCTGATGACACGATAAAGTTGCGAAAATGAGGCCAGAGCAATTCTATGCCGCAAAAGGAGACCACTCAATCGTGGTCTTCATATTGCAGTTTTTCACATTAGACCATCGAGGGTCAATCTGGAGCTGATGACACCAGCAAGCAAAGATACATGAAAGTTGTAAGCCTCTCCAGTTCGCCAGAACTCTTGGAAGTCAATTAATATGACTAATTTTAATAGAATGAACAATTGTATAAAATTAGGCAAGACATACCTCTGAGCATTGGATAGAATTAAGTGAAAAAGTCACGTCGAATAACCGAGACGAAGGAGACTCTTGAAAGCCCTGAGTCTGTTTATGGTTCTAATATTTCAGCTGACTCATAAAGAGGAAACAGGCTCAAAGCGTCAACAGTGTAGGACTAAACCTTGGATGCTTTTGTGAAGGAACCAGCTGCATAGCCAGGTCCGCATCAACTTCACTCGTTAGCAAGCCTGCTGGGGGAAGCATGCAAAAGTCAATCATTAAAATACAATAATTAGGTTGTAGGGACTATGCGGGATTTTAGCTGGCCACCATTAATGGCTTGGTGTTTTTATGAAGTTTAGTCAAAGAAGAGTTTTTTGCTGACCACGTCTGTCATAACGAGACATATCAAAGCTATGTACAGTTTTGTCGGGGCTTTTTCACTCAAATTGATAGGTATAATTGTAATACAGTCTTCCTTCAGCTTCAGGTGCGATCAAATTATGAATAATTTCTGGTAAGTTAAGGGATTGTAGATATGCCGACCTGAATGGTGTGGCTTTCTGTTTTGTCGCAGTCTCCTTTGGCTTTATAGTGTTGGTTTGACGTCGTTTATACAACATGGTCGGAGCATCAGGGAGACCTTGTGAAACGTACCGAGTCCTGTGTTGCCTGACATAGTATTCTTGAATTTCAGCATCGGACCATTGACTTGTATCATTGGAATCTACCAGCCGTAATTCCTGAATAAAATCTCATTAACCAAATTTCGCATAAAATGATTGATGAAGTGAAAGCAGAGATTGTCCCAATAGAGTGTGAGTGATTGAATTTTACATCCCATTAGAGGCGCTGATATGTGAGGATGAAACGAGTTAGAAACTGCGATAACCGCTGGAGGAGAAAACCGTTTTGGAGGAAAGTCTACATGAAATTAACTGGTATCGTGAGGCTTACTAATGTAATTGTGGAAAAAACTCCACTATTAGTCACTAAACAATCTTATGCAGCATAGGGCGAGTAAGCTAGCATTAAAAAATTACTGATAGTCTCGTAAACTACTCGCGCCTAAATGGATGAATATTTTTGTTTCTCTAGTTAGTTCCGTTAAAACATTTGTAAATAATCTGATTCTACGGAAAACACCAGAGTATATTGGAGTTAAGGGAATTATGGTTAACTTGGTAGATTTAGTAATTCAACACCATTGGCACTAGCCTAATAGCCGTTGCTTTTACGTTCCCTTTTCTCTAATCAAATAAAATGCTTCAAGCTCCTTGCCTCTTGGATCCTCGGCTTCGGGATAATACCAAAATGACAATCGAGTCCAATGTTGGCTCCTCCCTGACGCTCAGCTGCGAGGCGATTGGCTCAGATCCTCTACACTACGTCTGGTGGATGGGAAGCCGATCTGCCGACTGGGTCACTCACTCCGGCCCACTTGGTGGGATTTCAGGTCATCAAATGCCTTCTGCTTCCGCACCCTCAGCATCACTTTTGCTACCTTCCTCTTCCCTCTCGTCATCTTCCTCTTCTTCGTACTCCACCTCTTCCGCATCCTCTCCATCCTCCTCCGCCGCGTCTGTCGCCGCCTCCTCCTTCAGCATTGCTGCTGCCTCGTCGTCATCCTCCTCTTCTTCGTCTTCTTCTTCATCCTACTACTCATCCACCAGGCAGCCACAGCTCTTCATTCCTTACCTTCGGCGGGAACACACTGGACAGTACACCTGCCAAGTCTCCAATAGGGCAGGAGCTCTCAATTACACATACCGTGTGATTGTACGAGGTGAGTTAGTCAAAGCTAGCCTTCTATTTTGGCCTTTTGATGAACCATTGGAGGAAAGATTATTAAAAAGACTGCGATAGCAACTGTGATCTTTATTTCGTGTGAGAGATCCCACTAAATATTGACTTCTTATACCGTTTGTTCTAAAGTCGTTAGACTTGAGTATGCTATTCATGTTGACTCAGCTGACGAAACATTCTCCTTCCATCTAGAGGAAGATAGGCTGAGCTTTCACGTGACATATGACAGAGATATGAGATATATTCACCCTATATCGTTTTATGGGATAAAGGGACTGGTGGTTGAATTTTACCAATCAAAATCATAAGAACAAACCTTACG